CAAAACATAGAGAAAAAAAACGCTTGACTTGTAATCTTCTAGCTGTAACTCTGTCATTACCTAGGCCTGTGAGATTAGATGAATTTCCTAACTTCTACTGATGTCAAAAGTTCTTTTAGAATCCTTCCAGTGCTAAAGTTATTTGATTATATTTAGTAATGAATTTACTTCATTATAACATACCAAAATACTGGATTTTTTTCATGGTCTAAGAAATGTATTATTGGATGTAACCAATTTTTAAGACTATATTGCAAGAAAATTTTATAATGCAAGAAAGCACTGCAACAGTGCTGTAGGTAACACTACATTTTTCACCAAAGATACACTAATTTTAATCAAAATTCTCATCCATGTTTACACATGATCCATTTTACTTTTTGAAAACTGCCTCTCCTATTTCACCATTCACTGCTGTGTTGAATTCTGGGAATTTTTTTTTCTGATCTATCTCCCACTTCATCAAACTTCTGTTCAGTTTCTTAATGCATCCATGAAGTTGTACATTTCAATGCCTATATTCATTGTAGAAGTTCAATTTTATTCTTTTTTCAAATATCTATAGCCTACTTTGGTATATCATCTCTTTTTTTTTTTTTTTTCTGAGACAGAGTCTTGCTCTATTGCCCAGGCCAGAGTGCACTGGTGCGATCTCAGTTCACTGCAACCTGTGCCTCTTGGGTTCAAGTGATTCTCCTGTCTCGGCCTCCTGAGCAGCTGGGACTACAGGCACGTGCCACCATGTCTGGCTAATTTTTTGTACTTTTAGTAGAGATGGGGTTTCACCATGTTAGACAGGATGGTCTCAATCTCCTGACCTCATGATCCACCCACCTCAAGCCTCCCCAAGTGCTGGGATTACAGGTGTCAGCCACCATGCCCGGCCCTGGTATATCATTTGTGTGGCAGTCTTTTATTCCCGTAAGTACTTTCACATGTTAAATTATCTTACAGTTTATATCCAATAATTCTACTATTTAAAATTCTTGGAGGTCTGATTTATTTTCTGACTCAATGTAGTCTGCTTTCTTGGGTACTTTATAAGTTTAGTTGACTTCATTTACCTACTTAAGTAAATAGATAGAAAGGGCATCTCCTTCCAGAGAGATTATGCAATTGTTTCTGCCAGAAATTTGGGGATTATAACCAGAAACTATTTTGTTCATTGCTTAGCTTGGAAGTTCCTGGATTATGCAGGAAGTAATAAATTCATATCCCAAATTTTAATGAGTCTAGGAGCATAACTATCAGTTTTCAGGGAGACTTTTCCCCCCAAAGGCCAGGGTCAGGCTTTTCCCCCAAAAAATCCAGGGCCTTCTGGATTTTAGTATCAAGCATCAAACTTTAGATCTAATTCTGACACCAAGCAAGCCCACGGCTTGCCTCCTCCCTGCACACTGCTAATTAAATCTAAGCCGTATGGGTTAGAAAATATCAAAATCTCAGGTGGGGAGTGTTTTATAGTTTATCCCCTAGGGAGTTTCCTTGTTTTGGGGGGAGCTATGCATTTATTAATAAAAGAAAATGTTTAGCCAGGTGCGGTGGCTCATGCCTGTAATCCCAGCACTTTAGGAGGCCAAGGCTAGTGGATCATGAGGTCAGGAGTTTGAGACCAGCCTGACCAACATGGTGAAACCCCATCTCTACTAAAAATACAAAAATTAGCCAGGCATGGTGGCACACACCTGTAGTCCCAGCTACTCAGGAAGCTAAGACAAGAGAATTGCTTGAACCCAGGAGGCGGAGGTTGCAGTGGGCCAAGATGGTGCCATCGCACTCCAGCCTGAGACAGAGTGAGACTTCATTTCAAAAAAAAAAAAAAGAGAGAGAGAAATGTTTGTCATACTTTCATCCAGCATTTCTAAGGTTTTTCACTCTGCAAAAATGTCAGAAATGAATATCCCACATATATTCAAAACTAATTTATGCACGCTTATAAAATATTGGTCAACGCTGGGCACATGGCTCATGCCTGTAATCTCAGCACTTTGGGAGGCCGAGGTGGGTGATCATTTGAGGTCAAGAGTTTGAGACCAGCCTGGCCAACATGGTAAAACCCTGTCTCTACTAAAAATACAAAAATCAGCCGGGCATGGTGGCACACACCTGTAATCCCAGTTACTTGGGAGTCTGAGGCAGAAGAATCACTTGAACCCAGGAGGTGGAGGTTATAGTGAGCTGAGGGTGTGCCACTGCACTCCAGCCTGGGTAACACAGCAAGACTCCATCACACACAAAAAAAAAAATTAGGACATATATGAATCCCACTTTGTTCTCTACTCTGTCCCACCCCTAATTATTAAAATAATTTTTAAATAATTTTTTTTTAATTTAACCAATGCTTCAAACATACAATCATCAGGAATGTATCTGAAAACATGAATCCCACTACTGCAATCAGTTCTTAAATGCTCAAGCAAAAAGTACTCTTTACCCAAGTTTTAAAAAGGCAAATAAAACTTTATACAGTTGCTCCTCGATTTACATTCCAATAAGCCCACTGTAGGTTGAAATATACTGTAAGTAGAAAATGCATTTAATATACCTAACCTACAGATCAACACAGCCTAGCTTAGCCTACCTTAAAAGTGCTCAGAATACTTACACTAGCCAACAGGTGGCAAAATCACCTAACACAAAGTCCATTTTATAATAAGAAACTTATTGAAGTCACGTAACTTACTACGTTCTGTACTAAATGTAAAAAAAAGAATGGTTGTTAAGGGTACTTAAGGTATGGTTTCTACTGTGTATTGCTTTAGCACCATGGTAAAGTCAAAATATTCTAAGTTGAACCATTATAAGCTGGGGACCATCTATATTTAAAACAATATTCCTATTTGCTGAGACCACTTTATTCAAAATTTAACCAGAGTAAAAAGGATAAAAAAATATACAAGTATTCCCTTTTGTGTAACAGCTGTCATTCCTCCAATATTGTGTTTTCAACAAAAAAAAGTTTTAAAGCAGTATATATAACATATACTATGATCCATGTACCCCCTATGTCCAAGCTTACAATTCTAAAATATACGAAGATACAAAGTCATGAAAAAGTCCTCTAATGCCTAGATTTAACACAAAAGAACTTATATATATATATATATATATATATACACATACACATATACTGTATATATATATATACACACACACACACATATACTGTGTGTATATATATATATATATATATACACACACACACACACACACACACACACACATATATATATATATAATTTTATTTTATTTTTTGAGATAGGATCTCACTGTTGCCCAGGATGGAGTGCAGTGGTGCAATCATGGCTCACTGCAGCCTTAACCTCCTAGGCTCAAACGATCTCCTACCTCAGCCTACTAGGTAGCTGGAATCACAGGCATGTGCCACCATGTCCAGCTAAGTTTTGAACCTTTTTTTCCTTTGGTAGAGATAGGGTCTCACTATGCTGCCCAGGCTGGTCTTGAATTCCTGGGCTCAAGTGATACACCTCCTCTACCAGCCTTGCAGTGCTGGGATTCTAGGCACGAGCCACCACACCTATCCTATATATACATTTTTTAAAATCTTCATCTTTCCAAAAAGACATGAGAAAGTTAATACTTTTAAAAATTCATCTACTTTGAAACAATCTATTTCATCAAAAAATATTCATAAACATATATGCAAGGTACTACCTTCTAACTGAAGTTTTGCCCCTACCCTAAATAGTCAAAAGCAAGAAATGTCATCAGAATTTGGACAAAAAAATATTCTAAGACAATAATTTAACTTCAAAAATAAGGAAGAAGCTGGACACAGTGTGTGCCTGTAATCCCAGCTACTCAGGAGGTTGAGGTGGGAAGATTGCTAAAGGTCAGTTTGAGGCTGTAGTGGGCCATGATTGTACCTGAGAATAACCACTACACTCCAGCCTAGGCAACATAGCAAGCCTTTGTCTCTCTAAAAAGAAAAAGTAGGGGGGAAAAGTAATTTGTTTTAAAGAATATGTTTATTAGTGGCATTAGAATATTAGTTTCCTGATAATATCAAGAATATTCTCTTGGACAGGCACAGTGGCTCACACCCGTAATCCAGCACTTTGGGAGGCTGAGGAGGGCGGATCGCCAGGTCAGGAGTTCAAAACCAGCCTGGCCAATATGGTGAAACCCCATATCCACTAAAAATATAAAAATTAGCTGGTTATGGTGGTGCCTGTAGTCCCAGCTACTTGGGAGGCTGAGGCAGAAGAATTGCTTGAACAAGGGAGTTGGAGGTTGCAGTGAGCTAAGTTCATGCCACTGTACTCCAGCCTGGGAAGCAGAGCAAGACTCTCAAAAAAAAAAAAAAAAAAAAAAAATCAGAGGGGCATGGTGATGTGTGCCTGTAATCCCAGCTACTTGGGAGGCTGAGATACAAGAATCCCTTGAACCTGGGAGGCAGGAGTTGCAGTGAGCCTAGAATACACTACTGTACTGTAGCCTGAGTGACAGAGAAAGACTTTGTCTCAAAAAAAAAAAAATATAATATTCTCTTGATAACTGTCTCTGTTTAGTATACATGCTAAAAGAAGAGAAAGAAACCACTACTTGTCTATCAATAGGAGCTAGTTATATAAATGATGGCAAATCGATCAAAGGACTAACATGAAGCTAAGATATAGGATGGGACAGCTCTGCATGTGACTCATTCTATTTGAATTATGGCATATTTACATATTACATTCTTAAAACTTTCAATGTCAAGAAAGCAAAGAAAGAAGAAACAAATTTTAGCAGTAAACACTAACTCAAATGTAAATACTACGATACTAAGTAAACATGTGTCAGCTCAATTTTGAGTCTCTACAAATCAGCCTAAATATGCTGGGCACACACCAAAAAGATCAGTAGTAAAATTATTTATTAGTCCTCTACCTTCAGAAACTGTTTTTGCTTTTGCCTGATCTGTGCTTTATTACTGCAACATAGAGTCATATTTGATAGCTCAAACAAAGAACAGACATTACCACTTAAAACTGTTTAATATATTGCCTGGTCAGATTTTACCAAAGAGGATGCCCTGAGACAACAAAATAAATAAATAAATTTGTTCTATTATAATGGGAAACTGACTCTGAAGACTATAAATATCTACACAAATGTTTCAACTCCAAATAGATCTTGCTATTCTCCACACTCGCAGTCTAAATTAGACTACAGTTCTTTTCACCTCAATTGTTTTCCCTAGAAATATGACATTTCTGGCCATGAGCAGTGTCTCACTCCTGTAATCCCAGCACTTTGGGAGGCCAAGATGGGTGGATCACCTGAAGTCAGGACTTCGAGACCTAACTGGCCAACATGGTGAAACCCCGTCTCTACTAAAAACACAAAAATTAGCCAGGCATGGTGGCGCATGCCTGTAATCCCAGCTACTAGTGGGGCTGAGGCAGGAGGATTGCTTGAACTTGGGAGGCGGAGGTTGCAGTGAGATGAGATCGTGCCCTTGCACTCCAGCCTGGGCAACAGAGCGAGACTCCATCTCATAAAAAAA